GTTTAGGCAGGTGAGAACTTCACGGGTGAGGAAAAGGCCAGGGACAGAGTTGCTTGGGTCAAGCTTTTTTGTTTTTCTTTCATCGTAGCAGTCTACCTGTTTATGCTTCCAGGTTAGAAGAGCTGGCCTAGGAGAATTTCATTAGTTAACCTTGCCCCATCCACTCTCCTGCCCTGACGGTGCCCGAGGCTTATTTTTGTTCCCAGATGTAAAGAACATTGGAAACATTGGAAAGGCACACTGTTTGAGCTGACACTGCTGTTCTGGTGCGGTGTACATTGCAGCGCTCAGAGTTTTTCTGGAACGGTTAAGCAGAGTTTTCCACAGTGGGAGATACTACACCTCCCGGGGTGCTGGGATGGTTGAGGGAGGGAGGGGCGGGGGACTGGTGCAGCAAAAGCAGATACCCTCACTTGTATACTGGATTAAAGATCGTAGCCCAAAAGATTTTAGTTGCCAGGGGAATGGTGAGTAATTTTTCGAAAACGGTCTGGTAGGCCAAATAAGTTTGGGAACCTATGCGTCAGAGATGGGGAGGCCATGTTAAGAAACAACAGCTTCACATTTTGATAAATTTTGTTTAGTAACAGTTTCTGTGATGTTCTAACAATACTTTTCTAAAACTTACATGGCATGATCTACCCAGATGTGCACGCATGCATATTTGCATATAAAGGTTTGCTAAGTTCATTGTTCCCAGGTTCCGAAGTCTTTACAGCGAGTGTTGATGTGAAGAGTTCTGTGGTTAACTAGGGAGGTTTTGATTAATTGTGGTGATAAATGTTTAATTAATTCTTTCATTATTTGAACTGATGGGAACGCATGTGTTTATATTGCTCCCGAGCCCCTATCTGTAACTGAATGACTTACTTAGATTTTCATTTTAAAGATATCATTAGCTTATTTTTTCCTTCTCATTTCATGTGCAGGTCATGGCAAAACCCCAAAAGATGCAGCGTCAGTGCGTGCCACCCATCCAATACCAGCAGCTTGTGGCATTTATTATTTTGAAGTAAAAATCGTCAGTAAGGGAAGAGATGGGTAAGTGTACATTTTGCTGGGAAAAATCACTTGCGACTCTTGGGTAATTTTGGTTTTGATTCTTAAAATTTATGATTTGATTGGAATTTAGGAAACACTGGTCATTGGAAGAGTGGAATCCGAGAATGCCAGTTAGCAGTGTACAGGCAACATTGGCTTTTGGGGAGAAAGGACCCCTGCAACTCTGGGGGCATATTTCTGATAAAGATCTAGTTGTCCAGAATCATTGGCCCACAGTGGCACTTCCTGATGCCTGCATCACCGGCCAGAGGTCCTTCTGAGCTGTTGGTTCAAACTGTCAAGAGAAAGCTATGTGCGGGCTGTGTCTGAAGTGAAACATTCAGCCTCTCGTTGTGCGGTTCTCACGTTTAATTAACAAAGTCAGCGAGTTGTGTAAACTATTTTGTCTACTTTATTTGCTGGATACTCTCAATGTCAATGTCATGGGGAGTAGAAAGTGAAGGCTTGGGACTCGGTCACAATGTATTAGCCGCCTCAGTTTTCCCAGAGGGATCCAAGCCAAAGGTAAAGTCAGAGAAGAGGAGGATGAAGTGGTTGAGAGATGGAGGCCCCATTATAAACTGACAAACACAGTCAGCGATGTCTAACTCTTCACCTCCTTATGTGAAGCCGGTTCTCTTTATACATAGATGGAAATCATCACCCCTCCCCCATTTCTGTGCTGCTTGGGGTGAAGCCTGGCTTCTTTTTACCTGTTTCTCTACACAGTCGCTTTTTGTATTTTTATCCGGACCTTATATTTTTATGTATGCAAATACCCTGGTGGTTCTTTACAACCACTCCTCCAGACATCCCACTGGGTTTCAGACCAATACAGCTAACTGGATGTTTGTATTTGAAAGGCCCAAGGGCATTTCAAGTGGTGTGTGGGGTTAAGGGGGAGAGGGGACCCCGCAAATCATCACAGGTCCGGTAGGCGCAATTGTACAGCGATAATAAGTAGAGATTATAGTAAAGTCATAGAGAGCATGAGAGTTAAAGGAGAGGTTGAAATAAATGGAGTCAGACACAATTCATGGTAGCATTGCTCACCTCAGCCCCCCTTGATGGTCCTCGTAGGGGGAACCCAGCCACCAGAGCAGGAGCAGCCACGGGCCTGAAAACCGGGTAGCCTCTCCGCCTGAGAACCAGGGAGCCTCTCCTTTATTGCTAACCACGCATTATATCACTTAGGGGGATATGATTACAGAATCACATGTATGATTACAGAATCACACGTCACAGAAAGGGGCAGTACAATTCATCCTTGGGCGGGTTTGACCCCTCTGGTGTCTCATACAATGAAACAGACAAGCCCCCTGATAGCAGATAACAACCTACGTCATAGGGAGGGGTTGCAACATAGGCAATACAAGCAATAGGAGGGAGATGACCTAGCGGTGAACACACAATAGTAAAGGGAGGGAATAGGGGAGCATGTGTGGCAAGATGGGAGGACCCTGGACTCGATATGGTAGCCTAAGCTTAGTCATCCTAGAGTGGTCCCCGGCTTGCCTTCAGGCACTCCTTCAAGGGAACAATATCAGAAGGGAATGTGCCCTATTTGTTGTGGGGTAAACAGTGCTGTCTGCTTGATCTAGACAGCTGATAACTCTCAGGGAGAATGACCCGTAATCCACTCCTGATGACCTCCAAGCAGCTAAGTCTGGCATATATTTGGGGGAGACAACTTGAGAGAAATCCTCTGTTTCCCATAGTGGTGTTTATTGAAAATTGATTCCTCTCTCAAAGCCAGCTTGGTTAGTGGTTTTTCTGCTGTGAGAATCGGGAAGCTTTCTACCTCTAGCTGTCTTTGCGGACTCTACTTCCTTGATCAGGTCTGGGTAATTTATGTCTTCACCGAGCCCAAACCCACCGCCATCAAGTTGATCCAAGCCTGTGGTTCATGGATTTCCCAGTTGCTCCCCTTTTCTCCTTCCTTCCAAGCAGTGATGTCACCGGTCTTCCTAACAGAGCACCTAATTTTATCTTCTTCAGGTCATTCAGTATGCCTGTTGCTTTGCAGATAAAATCTAAAGCCCCAAAGACAAGTCTTTTGAGATATGGCAGGCGCCTGCAATTGTCCCGTCTCCTCTCTTTGTTGCCCAGCCCCTGCCTTCGTGGGTTCTTTCTCACTTTTAAATGAAGGCACAGTTTAAATACAGTAATTTTTACTTTTATGTGTGTATGTTTGGAGGTTTGATAAAGGAGTGTAGTCATGTAACCACCATTACAATCAATATGTTGAACAGTTTAAGAATTTTATCACCCCAAAATGCCCCCCTCACCCCAACCTTTCCTAGAAAGCCTATCTCCACCCCCACCATCTCTTGGAAGCCAGCTTCTCTAGCTGCTGCTGCTAGTTTTACCATTTTGCAGAATGTTGTATTAATAGACTTTTATAGTAGTAGCCTTTTAAGTCTGGCTACTTTGACTTAGGGTAATACATTTGAAAATTCATCTAAGTTGCCGTATGTTGCTCATACACCTTTTTAAAAAATCATTTTATTGGGGGCTCATACAACTCTTATCAGAATCCATAGATAACATCCATAGTGTCAAACACATTTGTACATATGTTGCCATCATTCTCAAAACATTTGCTTTCTACTTGAGCCCTTGGTGTCCGCTCCTCATTTTCCCCCTCCCTCCCTGTCCCCACCCCTCATGAACTTTTGATAATTTATAAATTATTATTATTTTGTCCGATGTCTCCCTTCACCCACTTTTCTGTTGTCCATCCCCCAGGGAGGGGGTTCTATGTAGATCCTTGTGATCGGTTCCCCTTTTCTCCCCTACCTTTCCCTTACCTTCCTAGTATTGCTCCTCTCATTATTGGTCCTGAGGGGTTTTATCTGTCCTGGATCCCTGTGTTTCCAGCTCTGATCTGTACCATGGTACACGCCGAATTTGTAAGGTAGAATTGGGATCATGATATTGGGGTTGAGGAAGCATTTAAGAACTAGAGGAAAGTTGTATGTTTCATCGGTGCTACACTGCACCCTGACTGGCTCCTCTCTTGCCCGTGACCCTTCTGTAGGGGATGTCTAGTTGCCTACAGATGGGCTTTGGGTCCCCAGTCTGCACTCCCCCTCACTCACAATGATATGATTTCTTGTTCTTTGATGCGTGATACCTGATCCCATCGACACCTCGTGATCACAAAGGCTGGTGGGCTTCTTCCATATTTGTTCACTTCTTTTTATCGACATTTATAAACCATGTAACTATAAGGCTCAGAGACTTAGGTGATTTCTGTACCTGCACTAAGCTTGTGCTTCTTCACCATTTATAGTCTGATTTGTGCTCTTTCTTGCTCGCTTGCTGGCTCCCCTTTCTAGTTCACTATGCATGCCCTTGTATCCACCTGTTCCTGCTCCCCAAGTGCCCTAGGCAACTCATTCTTCCCCTTCTAGTATCTCACTGCTGTCCAGTGGATACCCACTCATAGTGACTCTGTAGGACACTGTAGAGCTGCCTCTGAGTTTCTGAGACTACCTCTATGGGAACAGAAAGCCTCGTCTTGCTCCTGTGGAGTGCCTGGTGGTTTCGAGCTGCTGACCTTGCAGTTAGCAGTCAAACACATGTCCACAACACCACCAGGGCTTCTCAAGTTCTGATAGAGCGGTGCCATTTTTGTGGCAGTTTTTTTTCTCCCCCAAATGGGATATTGTGTCTTCTGTAATGTTTTGAACCGGCTGTATTTATAATCATTACACAGGTTTAATTGCTGACAGGTCTGTGACCCTTAGACCAGTGTTTCCCAAAGTAGGTGATACCCTAACCCCCTGGGGCAGGGGACCGTGGGGATGGGGATGCACAGGAACACTTCTACACTGTGTTCTGGATTTGGACCTATACTACAAAAGCTTAGCATTGCTGGGAGTGCTGAGTAATTTTTTTTACCCTGAAAAGGGGTCATTAGACCATATAAGTTTGGGAGCCCGTGATGACATACAGAAATTTTATATTTCTCTAATGCTGTTACTTTAAATTTTAGCTAAAATTTGGATGGATAAGAATCAATGTTATATATACATGCTATAGCTATACCTCTATAAATGGCTTTTGCCTCCTATTTCTTTCCTCTATTTCAGCGGTTCTCAACCTGTGGCTTGCGATCCTTTTGGGGGTCGAATGAGTCTTTCACTGGGGTCGCCTAAGACCATCAGGAAACACATATTTCCGATGGTCTTAGGCACCGAGACATCACTCCTCTATCCGTCTCCAGGCAGGTCTACCCACAGGCAGATATGCCCACATACGAGTACCCGATGTGAAGACTGTGACCTATGCTTTACTGTGCTCTAAGACAAAGTTTAATTTACTTGTCATTAGAATAAATATTTCACAATAAAAAGAATCAGTGTTTACCATCAACATATTCTTAGTGAAACTATTGTATCTTTATGGTTACATTGTATTCTCTTTGGTAAAACTTGTTGAACAAAGTCCTAGGGTCAACTTAGTACTTTGGGAGAATGACAATATTTTAATGAGACAAAAAGGGAGTCATGTTGCTAATGATGGCCCAGCAATGCTTTTCTGGATATCGATTGATATAAATCCCCAACCCCCAGCCCCAGCATCTTTGTGGCGTATAGATTAGGAAGAACAGCAGCAATTAATTACCTTTTATTATTAATCATTTTAAGTACACTTGTACATATGTGACTTTCAATATTTCCAAAACATTTTCTTTCTACTTGAGCCCTTGGTATCAGCTTCTCTTTTTTCCACTTCCTCCCCCACCCGCCCACCCTCATGAATCCTTGATCAATTATGTATCATTGTTATTTCTTATATTATACTGCCTCCGTTGTCTCCCTTCACCCACATTTGTTATTTTTCCCCCTGGGGGGGTGGGTGAGGGTGGGCAATTACCTTTTGCCCAGTGATACTTATGTATAAACACACACATCTGAGAGTTTATTATAAAACCCAGAGTCAAACTGTTGTCACAAAGAGGAAGTGCCACAAAAAGATAGCACTGTGCTATT